TCTGTTAACTGAATGTTTGCTAGATTGTACTGGTTCATATTGCAAAGGCCCCATCATATTGCTTGCAAACAAAAAACATTCTCTAAATAACTTGCAACTTGCCATAAACTAATGTCAGAGGGAAATTGAACTGTTTTACTTTTAATTCTGCAATCAGAGGAGTTAATATAGGTTGAAGGGTCCACTTGAAGCTTATCATCCCCTCTATTAGGTCTTGGCAAAGAGCTGAAGAAGATATTGGATATCTATGAAGATATTACTATGCCAATTTTCCCATAACAAGGTCTAAAACTTTTCCTAAACAAGAAAAAGACATGTTAATGATTAGCAAGTCCAGCTGCAATGCACCATCATCATGCTTCCTATTCTTTTACCCATTGAGTAAGCCAGCACTCATTACTTGATGAGTAAAATTGTCTTACATTATTAGACCACTTAAAGGGTTAACACCAAATATTTTACTCAAATAATTATGATCATCATGTATTGTCCACTCTCCAGTACTATCCCCTCCGACCCCATGACTATAGTGCCATATGAGTAAAATCATATGGCATTAGAGATCATTAGACAGAGTAAAATAACAGAGTAAGGCGCAACGCAATTTAATTGGTTAGGGACCGCTCATTATTTATTGTACGGGGGGGGGGGATTGAGGAGAAACTGAGGCGGGCCTTTAAATTTTTTAAAACCTGAAAGGGGGGGGCTTTGAATAAATACAGAGAGACGAAAGAAGGGGGGCTTTGAAAAGATTTACCAGTTTTAGTAGTTTTAAAAATGTATCACAAAACAACTTAACAACAATTAACAATGTTTATAGACCTTTAATATTCATAAATGGAAGTCAAATAAAAAGTCTCTCATGTTCATGTAAATAGACAATTCCCATTATAGACTAATTTTAGAACTAGGCAAAGAGATGCAAATCAAGGCCGGATTTTGGTGAAAATAGTGGGGGAGGTGGAAAAAAATTTTAGGGGAGTTGCAGCGGTCTAGCCCACAACCCCCATGGAAAGTTAGGGCTTATTGTAGAACAGGCCAATATCAACGAGGTGAGGTATGCATGTAGTGTACATATGTACCAGTGTATTAATGAATTATAACTGTATGACTCCAATCTCGCTCTTCATTACAATTGCTACAAAGTTTCTTTTAAAACATTGCATTAAAAGGGTACTTAACACAGAGATGAATGGCTATCACTTTTTCAATTTTACAGAGAAAACTTTTTTCAATTTTACAGAGAAAACTTGATGCGAATAAATCACCACAGCTAGAAAAAGCATACTAAAATAAGTAAATTATTGCAAAGTTTGGTTGCGAAATGTTGTAAAATACGGAAAATATAGCCTTATTTGCAAATTTTGTATACAAAAGTATTGCATGCGCAAATTGCAATACAAAAGTATACAAAATTTGCAAACTTTGGAAGGCTATATTTTCTACATTTTACTAATTTTAGTATACCCTTCCTGGGAATATACTTTTTTTGTTAAGATAAGAAATTAGTCTATAATGGGAATTGTCTATTGGTCCCCATTATCTATTTTTCTTTCTCTAAATAAAGAGCTAGAGAGTTTTTATTTCTCTAAATAAAGATAAAAAGCTAGAGGGGGGAACCAAAATTTATGTTCTTGTTTTGCCTGTTGGGGGGGGGGCTTTGAAAATTTTACTTGTCTTAAGAGGGGGCAACGAAAAAATATTATAACTGTAGAGTTTCTCCTCAGTCTCCCCCTGTGCAATAAATAATGAGTAGTCCCTTAATAAATATATTGATGGTATAATTATTACTTATTAGTCGATTGGTCTCCTCAGGAGACATCCTGTTTTGTGGACCCTCAAAAACCAGGATATCTCATGAGGAGACAAGTCAATATCATACCAACTCACAGTTCTCAACCAGAAAACAATGTAAACAATTGTTATTATTTGTTATTCACCCCTAGACACAATCTCGTTTCCCGAGACTGCAATCCTCACGAAGGAATGTGAGGCTCTCGGAAAATCCATTGCTGGAAGGCAGGAATCCTGGCTAAGACCGAACTGCGCATTCCATATCAACAGCCAATCAGATTCCTCCCTGAAACAGATTATCCCAGAGCATCACATTCCTTCCCGAGGATCACAGGCTTGGGGAACAAGATTGCTCTGCATAATGTGTTATCTCCCTGCCGAGCATCTGTGGAGTGTCTCCAAGGGTTCCCTGCTGGCTCCGGTGCTCTAGGGACCTCTGCTCGCAGGTAACTCCGAGGGAGGCAGCTTAATGTCTTGACTCTCACTTGACTTACCGTAATCTCGACCAATAAAACTATAGGAAAAGTGAAATTTGAAACTTGCTATATAATCATAATAGTTCAGGCTCAGTCTGAATGTTTTTTTTTTACATGTTTTGCACCTCAACCATATTATAATTTAAAACTCAGTATTGTATATTAAAATAAAATTCTTACCATTCTTCCACTAGATGTGCTTCGTCAATCACATAGCTTTAACAGAATCTTGATATGATTTTGACTTCAAAATATTTTGAAAAAATTTCTTATCTTCCAATAAGGCTTCTGGGTGAGCAAATATACTGATGAGCAATCTGATGATAAATAGAGCCCCTCTCCGACCGCATGCTGTGCTTTGGTAACGTTGTTTCCCTGCTGGCCTTCAAAGTTCAAAACACTAACATCCATGGGCTAAATTGCAGAATACCCGTCCACTAGTTATCTTTCACTGCGTAGCCAGATTTTCAGTGGCTACGCAGTCGCGCGCTATCAAATTATAATGTCAAGGAAATACCTCTCTCTTGTTGATATTATGACGTAATTGTAATGAAGCTATATTTTTTAGTGGCTACGTGGCTACGCAGTGAGTTTTTAAAAGAACGGGAGACTGATATAATGACGTAATTACTAAAGTATACTCTAAGTATATTTTTTAGTGGCTACGTGGCTACGCAGTGAGTTTTTAAAAGAACGAGAGACTGAGATAATGACGTAATTACTAAAGTATACTTTAGTAATTACGTCATTATATCAATGTCTCGTTCTTTTAAAAACTCACTGCGTAGCCGCATAGCCACGTAGCCACTAAAAAATATACCTACAGTATACTTTAGTAATTACGTCATTATATCAACGTCTCGTTCTTTTAAAAATTCACTGCGTAGCCACGTAGCCACTAAAAAATATACCTACAGTATTGTATACTTTAGTAATTACGTCATTATATCAATGTCTCGTTCTTTCAAAGCCTCACTGCGTAGCCGCGTAGCCACGTAGCCACTAAAAATATACCTACAGTATACTTTAGTAATTACGTCATTATATCAATGTCTCGTTCTTTTAAAAACTCACTGCGTAGCCACGTAGCCACTAAAAAATAAACCTACAGTATACTTTAGTAATTACGTCATTATATCAATGTCTCGTTCGGTTCTTTTAAAACCTCACCGCGTAGCCACGTAGACACTAAAAAATATACTTACAGTATACTTTAGTAATTACGTCATTATATCAATGTCTCGTTCTTTCAAAACTTCACTGCGTAGCCGCGTAGCCACGTAGCCACTAAAAAATATACCTACAGTACGTATACTTTAGTAATTACGTCATTATATCAATGTCTCGTTCTTTCAAAGCCTCACTGCGTAGCCGCGTAGCCACGTAGCCACTAAAAAATATATCTACAGTATACTTTAGTAATTACGTCATTATATCAATGTCTCGTTCTTTTAAAAGCTCACTGCGTAGCCGCGTAGCCACGTAGCCACTAAAAAATATACCTACAGTATACTTTAGTAATTGCGTCATTATATCAATGTCTCGTTCTTTTTAAAAACTCACTGCGTAGCAGTTACGCTTTTGTAATTACGTAATCATTTCATTGCATCGTTCTCGTAAAGCTCGAGAACGTAAAACTCACTTCTGTAATTACGCAATCACTCCATTGCCTCGTTCTCGTAGTCACTGCATAGCCACGTAGCCACCGATATTTCTAGCGGATCTTCAAAAGTGGACGGGTATTCTGCAATCGCTCCCATCCATGTGCTTTTTCAGTTTTGTAATCTGATCGACCATTAAGGCGTTTAAAGGCGAAATAAAAATTACTGAGTTACCAGTAGAATTCGTATTTTCACGACATGAGTGACTTTCCATGGCCAGTAGGCAAGACGCAAAATGTGTCCTTCCGATCCTACAGCCTTCACTGCTTCGTACTAACATTCCTTTAGCTCACTATTTTGCTTTAATACCTTGTTGCTGTAATACTTTTTCCAATCCGCTATGAAATAAAGTAATACTTTCTGCAGACATTTTTATTTTTTTATATATTTCAAAACCAAAACAATACTATATGACACACGCATGCGCAGTTCGGTCTTAGCCAGGATTCCTGGCTTCCAGCAACGGATTATCCCAGAGCCTTCGGTTCCTTCCCAAGGACCGCAGGCTCAGGGAACGAGATTGGGCGATGGCAGACGAAGCAGATGTGGAATTTGTTTCGAATATTAAAGAACTATTTATGAAACAAAATAAGAAGTTATGAATATTCTGATCTTTTAAACATAATTATAATACATGAG